GAAGACGCCAAGGAGAAACTAAAATACAATGTCCTATATGTTGAGAAGAAAATGCAAATAATACGCCTTTATCTGCTTTCGATTAATGAGTTGTATCCCTGAATATGGGAAATGTTGAACTTTATGTAAATTCTGTTTGGAAACAGTTTCCGCTTCAGTTCTTTCATACGTCATAGATTGCTCCCAGTCTGAATGGATAAAGAACACTAGAGGTAACATTAAATCAACTACATTGTTCCTTTGAACTTCTACAGTGTTTCCGCAAATTTGGATTTGTTCTGTAAATTATTTTAGGATCCCAAGGTTAAGAATTTGTAGTTTTCATGCTATGATTGTGCATGAGTTAACGAATCAAACAAATAATTTCGTTTCGTCCGTCTCGTCTCCATTTGTAAAAGTAAGACTTAAGAGCCACTAAGCATAAATATCGAGAATCGAGGGCCGTAAGGGAGGTTTTCCGTGAAACGTGATCGGCTGTTTTTAATTGCCGTGACTCGCGATTATAAAAACTTAAAAGCCGTGAACTGTGAAGGATATGCCAGTCGTGATGCGTTAACAAAAAAACTATTTTTCGTTATCCGAGATGACTGAAATGAAAGCAGGTTTTTCCTTGAAAAGTTATTGGCGAAAATATAAAATCTCTTGACCAAGCCTGTTTGGTCAAGATGGCCGGATTGGTCAATGTTCTATTATTTTGAGATCTTTCAATTTGATGCCAAGAGCACATCAGTATGAAGGTTTGTAGCCAATGCTTCTCGGCCTACGTCTCTAGCAAAAAAAAAGATGCTGATTAAAATCAACGAGCGAGCCCGCAATACGCCATGAAGTTTGGTCAGAGGATTCTCTGATGCAACAGTTGTCCCTTTAACATCTAAGTTTGGATGTACAAGTGCAGTAAAACTATTGCCTTGAAGGCTTATTACATGTAGGACCAAGTTTATTACATTTAGGACTTTATTACCCATAGGAAAGTTATTACATGTAGGACTTCAACATCCCCCCCCTCCCCGCTCCTCCCTTCGCAGCCTTTGGCTGGTCCACTCATATAAAGGAACTGAAGAAGAGTTTTGCCAATAAACTAAGCGTTATAAAGAAGAGCAGATTCTTACCTAAACGGGATCTCTTAAAACTGTACTTTTAAGTTATAATTTCTGCAGTTATCATACAAGGGGCAAAATTACTGAATTGTGATTGGTCAAGACAGAGGGCATTTTTTCCTAACCCTAACTCTAATTTTGGTAATTGCCGCGGGCAAAATTACTTGAAAATGATTGGGGCAATTTCAAAAATTAGGGTTAGGGTTAGGGTTAGGGTTTAGGGTTAGGGTTAGGGTTAGGGTTTTAGGGTTATCGTTCTTGTTTTTTTTTGTTCAGCCAACGATGCTTCGAATCAACACCAAAGAAAAAGTTTTAAGTGGGGAAGAGGTACTGACTGTCTGACTGAGTGACTAACTGACGGGCCCAAATGACAGACTTATAGACTGACTTGGGGCTAATTAATTTAATTAAAAATGGGGGTAGGCTTTTTGCAGAACCTGCGGAGCTGCAAAGCAAAGAGAGATGGCAAAATTTTCATGACGAAGGGCTATCTCTCGAAAGTAAGCCTTAGAAGCTCTTTACGGTGGCCAACTTACATCTGTTCATCAACTCAGTTTATAAAAGCAAAGTTACCCCTTTATTCTTCCCCATCGATGCAGCACCAGTTTCTTTTGAAACTTACCCGGTAGACTAACTGACTGACCGACCAAATAACTGACTGAGAAACTGACGCCTGGCTAAAACTAACAGACTGAGAGATTGATTGGTTCGTCTTCTTTAGCAGGTCACATTCACGAGAAAAGACCAGCTGCGAAATGGTAATGGGAAGACAATGGCAACGTTTGGTGTTTGTACGACAAGGACCACTTGGTAAACTTTACAGACCGTTATCTGTATCATGAGTCGTGTTATTTAATTGATCTCTGCCTCAGAATACCCTGGTCATAAAGGCATATCATTCTGTTCTTTGATTTCTTTCTAGCGCTGTCCTCATCGCCAGCAGTCACTTTCAGGATTTAAATCCTAGTTTACATGCTGTCGTGATCGCAAAACATTTCTAAAAGACACAAAGTATTTAATCCCGTGTATCTTTCTAAAATTTTCTTGAATTTTAAATCACGATTCCTGAGTCAACAATAAAATACTAATTGAGAGCTTTGAAAAACTCCACTAAAAGTAACAATATAATATTAAAGCCGGTATAAACACTCGAAAAGTTATCTATTAGAAGATATTTACTAGGATTTATACTAGACACATCTAACTTGACTATTTCTGGTGATTTCATTTTGTTTTTAAGGGAAGAAATCTACAAGAAAAGATAGAGCAAGCTTTCCTTGCAATTGATGGGCTAGCTCAAAGAAGGACAGAACATACATTCAATTTCACGGTCAAGGGTCAAAACTATCGGCTAGTCTTTCATTCAGAAAGGGGCATGTATCAAGAAAATTTGCAATATGGCACAAAAAGAAAGGTGGAAAGAAGACCAGAAAAGCCTTTACTTTCTATGGTATTTGATTGGTAAGTGTGTGCTGATGACAAATTATAATTATCGAAATAATTGAACTAAAATATATTATTATTATTTCGCATTTCGCAGAAACACATAAGTATACACTCGGAAGCGTAAACTCAAACCGTTTATTTACAGAGATTCCGATGATAATCCACAAATGTTTCCATGATCGAACCGAACAAATATCCAAATTTGACAGTAAGGCAAGTTTTCTACGAATTGAAATTACACCTTAGCGAGCGAAATTAAAATGTACATGACGTACGATAAAACTTATCGACTGCTTCGAGTTTAGAGTCTCCAATAACGAAAATTTTACGGTAGCAAAATATGCCCGCGCAAATTCAAGTAGGTCTCTTTCGAAAAGCACGTGGTCTATTTCCCGGATGTTGACGCCAGATGTCGGCACCCAGTGGGAGCTACAATCATGTCCATGAAGGTCGCTAAGGTTTAGAAATGAGCTAAGGTTTCGAAATATATCTAAAAAGTAGAAACCAGTATTTTTGAGGATGCAAGAGGTGGCGCCTCTCTTTCTATTTTCTTCTTTTTTTTTTTCGCAACACAAAGAACACTACCTACAAAGCAAGACCTTACCTCAATCTTAAATCTCTCTGTGCCATGAGGCACATAAGGCTTGGACGCCTCTCCTCCCCTGTGTTCGGTCTGCAGCTGCATGGCATACAGCATTCCATGTTTTCCAGCCTGCGCCGTTTCTGTCCTTTTCCACCATTCGCCGCCATGTTGCTTTCTTTATTTTCCTTCCTCCCTCTGGTGTCCAACCAAGGGCCACTGCACAGTCGTCGTTCCTTTCCTTCCTCTTTATGTGCCCAATCCAGTTCTCCATCTCCGTCCCCTCACCTCCTCGCTGATCTTTCCTGCTTCTGCCATCTAGAGAACTGTCTTATTGGAGACATGTTGTTGCCATCGGATCTTGAAAATCCTCCTTAGATTTTTAGCCTGGAAAGTGTCAAGCTTCTCTTCCTCTCCTTTAGTCACTTTCCAAGTCTCGCATCGGACAAGACAAGGCTATTGAAAAGGGAGGCTTTGGTCTTTCTGTTTATGTCACTGGATTGCCAGATGTTTGATAGCCGCTTTATCTGTGTGCTGGCCAAGGCTACTCTCTTCTTGACATCAGCTGTGCCTCCACCGTCCTTTGTCACATTTGCCGCACCCAGATATGTAAAGCTCTCCACCTCCTCTATTTCACTCCCTCCAAACTTCAGCTTATCATCGCTTTTGCTGTTGGCTTTCATGGCTTTACACCTCTTGAAATTCAGCTTCAGTCCAACTTCGGCTGCATTGTCTTCAAGTTTTGTTGTTTTGTTGTGAATGTGGTTCATTGCTGAGGATAGAAGGGCGAGGTCACCTGCAAAGTCCAGGTCCTCCAACACGGTTGTGAAGTTCCATCGGATCCCGGTTGTCTTACCCTCTACGGTTTTTCGCATGACCCGGTCAATCACTAGCAGGATTAAGAATTCCTACATAGCAAGACAGACACTACTTGCAATACATTACTTATACTACTTACTATACAATACTTCCTTAGACTACAATTCTTACACTACTTTTTACAGTTTGTTTTTCGGTTGCACACCTATGTACCTGGAAAATTGCGATTCAAAACGGTTTCCAGGTGCGCCTCTCTCGTACTCTAGAAATAGTACTGTGTTTTTTGTTGCTTTATTTTGTTTTGTTTGTTTGTTTGTTTGTTTGTTTTTTTCATAGTCAATTTCTTATGTCTTCGCATTTTTAGGTCTATTGAGTCCTCGCTTCCAGAACTTCCAAGGAACTGTGCCTATATACCAGCCTATAGTTCATATATACGTGTGACGTTAGGGTCATTTTCATGGGAATTTAAAGAGGTCGAACAGATATTCAAAGCGTCTATGACTGATGTGAAGATCGTGAAAATCGACCGCATGCAAAATCCGGTCAGGTGGAAAAACTATCAGAGGTAGGAAGAAACCTACGCCACCGCTCATAAATCTATATATGATAACCCAGTGTGGTCCGGAAAAAAGGGTTGAATGGAGGTCACCCACGTCCCCTCATTTGGGCAGGATTTCTATTAAGTAATGTCAAGTGGCATTAACTGTATAACATCGTCTCCCACATACACCGTCTTATATCAATCACTATTTTGAAGTAATCTATTTCACGACTGTAGCAGCGATAAGTAAAGTGCTAAGATTCACTCTAAGGACATTCCATCATGACACATTTGCGTACGCGAAGGTTCCTTTTAGTTTTGTGAAGTTATATATCAACTGCTGCAGTTTGGGAAAGGAAAATTGGCTTTAAAACATGACGTACTTGTGAATAAGACGGTGACACCTCTGACATCTAAACTGCTATTTGAGGGGCGAAGGGTAGAGTATTACTGCACCGAATATACCATTATAGCATCATCATGGATAAACTGTTTCATTTCCATTTTCTTTGGCAGGAAAAAAAAACTACATGAAAAAAATGGCACATGGCAATGAACAGATGGTCAATGAGAAAAGATTGTTTCATGGGACGAGTCCAGATGCTGTCAATGGTATCTGCGAAGAGAGCTTTGATTGCCGTCTAAGCGGCAAAAACGGGACTTCGTATGGTAAAGGAAGCTACTTTGCAGTGAAAGCATCCCTTAGCCACGGTTACGCAGGAGTAGATACTGATTTGACTCGATCTATGTTCTTCGCCAAAGTTCTCGTAGGTTCGTATGTGAAGGGTAACCACACATATAACAGACCGTCCCAGAAGCAACCTTGGAATGGAGCCAGTAATCTTTA